GACCCAGCACTGAGCCCTGGGGAACACCATATGCTGCAAAATGACTTGAAATGTGGTAAAACCCTGCCAGTGAGGACTTCCTTGACCTTGGTATAGGCAGATGCTTCATCTCTGCCTAATAGGGAAGAAAAGAACATCTATTGGTGGCAATCTCTGTCAGCAGGCTAACTGAGAGGGGAACAGGGCTATGTGTTTACAGAAGCTTTACTTCCTTAAAAATGAAACTACAGGTCAGTTGTCACTTCTCCCTTTCCCTATTTCATTTTACATTAACCCTTCACCCTCCTTTCCAGAGGCACTTAGGCTAAGGATGATTTCAACTGCACCCATGCTGCACAGGCAACAATTTTGTGTCATCCTTACTCTTAATCAAGAAACATGCTGCACAGTTGCCAGCCCTGGACCATGGGATGCCTATCAAGGCAGCACTCCATTACCTTTGGAGTCTCCTAGTGTCACTCTCAGTGCCCAGTGTGCTATGGCCCCATCACTGCTCCACACCTTTCCTCCTCATCCCTCGGCAACACCCCAGAGCACTTACTTTGCTGTTCACGTCCAGTGCCTTTATCCTTGGCAGACACATGAACAATACCATTAGCATCAATGTCAAAAGTGACCTCAATCTGGGGCACTCCACGTGGCGCTGGAGGAATCCCAACCTGAGAATGAGAAGTGCGTAGCCATTAGCTCCCACATGGACGTGAGCTCAGGGTATGAGGCTCCAGTGTTGAGTACATTATCTTGGTGATCTGTCAGTTGAATCAGCTATTAAATAAAGATTTCTACCCAGGACAAGTACACAGAAACCACAAGAGGCAGCCCCTAAGTTTGGTTTCAAAGTGACACAGGTTCTGCTTTATTGCTAAATAAGCCACTCTTCTCCTCCAGGACTTGGTGGGATGGTCTATTTCCTCAGATCGGGATGTAACCAGACTTCACTGACTACCTTGGAGGCTGCCATTCTAAAAGATAGGCAGTACAGTCTCCTTCAAAGTTCAACAGAAAAGCAAAGCCCTTCCTTTCTGGAGGGTTCTTCCTAGCAACAGGAAGTTTGGACAAACAGTTAAAACAGTGCCAGTCTTTGCCAACACCGACAGATACCTGACCAAACCCATTCC